ACGGGAGGATCTGGGGTGCACAGCTGAGGCCTTGCTGGCAAGGAGGCTGCACCAGGCAGCATCTTCAGGTGGCAGGTCTGGGAGGACTTCTCCGAGCAGAGCCTGTGCGCGCCACTGACGAGAAGCAGCTGAGAAGAGGGAAGACCCCAGAGAAACTTTGCAGGGCCTCCTAGAGCCAAGACCACGGGGAAAAACAGAGGGTGGGCAGGGCCGGTGGCTCACCTGGGCCACATAGGTCTGTATACCTCCAACCCACCCACCTCGAAGGGGCTGGTGGGGCCCCTCCAGAAGGAAAAGCAGAGCAAGAAGAAGCTGGAGACGAAGCCTGTGGTGTTAGAAGGACTCCAAGTCGGGGTGGGGGGGCGGGTTTCTGCTCCCCGCTGGCTCCTCAGAATAGCACTAGTATCAACATCTTCCTCTTACTCAGGGCTTCTTCTGGGCTGAGTTGTTTTTGTGGATGATCATCTGTATTATTTACAACTGAAGCTCAGAGAGTTTAAGGAACTTCCTTAGGGTCACACAGTTAAATAGTGGCAGAGTCAGCATTTGAAGGCAGCTTCTTAATCACTGTGGGCTACTGTCTTGGGCTCCAGCTGTGACCTTGTCTCCCTGCCTGTAAAACTGTGGAGTTAGAATAAAAGAGCCCCATGGGCTCTTGTGGCTCTCAACTAGAGCCCAGAATGGCTTCTCTAGCAGAGGTGCTCAGGAGTCTGATGGGAGGGGATGGGGACTTGTCTCAGAACTGTGTTCCCCACTAGCCTGGGTGACATGGGTAAGGGTGCAGGCCCTGCCAGGCCACGACCTCCACTGAGGGTGGATGTGAAGGTTGAATGAGTCAATGCAGGTAACGTGTTTCGTAGCGGGCCTGGCACACAGTAGGTGCTCGATAAAATGATAGCTCTTAATGTTTAGTCAGAGAAAGTGGAGGCTGTCCCTTCACATTTCATCCATTTGCTCTTTCAGCAAATATTTGTTGAATACTGCCTATGGGCCAGACACTGTTCTTGATACTGGTGACAGTGGTGTCCCCAAATAGCCTTAACCCCCTGCCTTTACGCAGCTTATTTCCTTTTTTTTAAATCCTCACCCGAGGATATTTTTCCATTTATCTTCAGACAGAGTAGGCAAGAGAGAGAGAGAGAGAGAAAGAGAGAGAGAGAAACATTGATGTGAGAGAGACATACCTACTGGTTGCTTCCCACATGACCCCAACCAGGGCCAGGGACGAACTGCAACGAGGTACGTGCCCTTGACCGGAATCAAACCCGCGACTCTTTGGTCCGCGGGCCGATGCTCCAACCACTGAGCCAAACCGGCCAGGGCAATGTAATTTATTTTCTAGTGGGAGACTCAAACCAAAAGAAAAATTTAAATGAGTATCATATAGAATATGTTAGATGGTGTGATACGTGCCAGGAGAAAAATGAGGAGAGGCAGTGCGCTAGGGAGGGGGGCTTCTCTGTGAAGGTGACTTGAGAGTCAAGCCCTGAGGGAAGTGAGGGAAAGAGCATGAGAAATCTGAAGGAAAGCATACCAGGCGTGGGAACAGCCAGGGTAAGGCCCTGCGGCTGCAGGATAGCTCAAGGGTTAGATTGTGTAGGGCAGGTTTAAGGGCCAGACCTGTAGTAAATGATGGTGCCCACTGTCAAGACTCGGGTTGCAGATCCCTTTGGGAGGACTGACGTCTTTCTCCCCATCACTGGCTTCATCTGTGATACCTTCACGATGTGGCAATTCCTGAGGATCCCCAGCCCGGCGCTCTGGGTGCCAAGGAAACAGGTTCAAAGGTCAGATAGGAAAGGTGCTGGGGGACTGCTTCTCCTGACCCCGTGCAGGCAGCTGAACTCCGTGGGACCCGTGGGAGCTGGCACTTCAATGACACCTATTGTTCCAGGCAAACTGCATCTTCTGGGTGGTGGGTGGGTATGTAGGGTGGGGGCTAGAGGGACTCAAGCTGGCTACAACTTTGGGCTTTCAAATTGGGAGTTGAGCCCTGGCCAGTTTGGCTCAGCGGTTAGAGTGTCCGCCTGCAGTCCAGAGAGACCCAGGTTCGGTTCCCACTAAGGGCACGTACCTCGGTTGCAGTTTGTCCCTGGCCCCAGTTGGGGTCGTGCAGGAGGCAGCCACTTGATGTGTCCCTTTCACATCGATGTTTCTCTCTCTTCCTCCCACTCTATCTGAACACAAATGGAAAAATGTCCTCGGGTGAGGATAAAAGAAAAAAATTGGGAGGTGAGTCCTAGAAGGAATCATTGAGAATTCAGTCTGGAGAGAAGTCAGACCCAGAAGCTGCTAGAACTCAGTACGTACGATTTCATCGTCTTTGAGACCATCTTAATTCCTCAGCTGGCTTTTGTGTTGCTCCTTAGAGCTAAGCTGCAAAGCTCCTTAGAAGGACCCGTGGGTTGGTCTTTCAGGGGAGTAGGAAGGAAGATACCTTGGGCCCATAACACAGCTAATCAGGGGTGGGGTTTGGGGAGCTTTTTCCAAGGGAGACAGTGGGTGGGGACAGCAGGAGAGAGATGAGGAGCAGGTCTTTGAGGGGAGAAGTGAGTCGTTTTTTTTTTTATCTTCACCCGAGGGCATTTTTGCATTTATCTTCAAATAGAGTGAAGGGAGAGAAGGAGAGAGAGAGAGAGAGAGAGAAATGTCGCCCACATGACCCCAACTGGGGCTGGGGACAAACTGCAATCGAGGTACATGCCCTTATGGGGAACCGAACCCGAGACTCTCTGGTCCGAGGGCCGACGCTCTAACCACTGAGCCAAATCATCCAGGGCTCTCATCGATATTTCTCTCTCTCTCTCTCTCTAAAATCAATCAATAAAAAAAATTTTTAAAAAGTAGGGAATATGGACCTGTACTACGAAACCTTTCTATTTTAAAACATTGGCAATCAGTTAACAAAACAAAAGAAATAACAACAAAAAACACCAGGCAGGCCAAGCAAAACCCACCACCTTGGCTGGTGACCCCACCCCACCCCATCCCTAATGCCCCTTCCTGCAAAGGTGGCACTGAGGGAAGGTCCCCAGTTGACTGCTTCAGGTCTCTCCTGGGTGGCTTGTCCTCACTCTTCTGCTTTTGGAAATGAGCTCATAATAGACTCAGCTTCCCAGGGACCATTGGGAGAACAGAGCCGTCCTGTTGGGCCGTGTGGTCCTGGGCAAACTCTCCCCTCTCTGGACCAGTGCCCGGCTCTGTGACACGCAGCCTGGTCTGTGGGATTCTCACCAGTCTGGACAGTGTGTGACTAAATCCCTTAGGCTGAAGGATGCGGTTATTGTGGAAATGACTCTTCCCAGGAACTATGCTTCCGGGATTGAATACAGTGCACAAGACATTTTGTATGTCCGGTCACAATTATGTGTGTGAATGGATGTGTGTCATAATTTGGAGTTTTGATGGCCCAGTGTAAATACCATTGCTTTATTTATTTATTTATTTATTTAATCCTCACCTGAGGACACTTTTGCATTTATCTTCAGATAGAGTGGGAAGGAGAGGGAGGAAGGGAGAGAGAGAGAAACATCGATGTGAGAGAGACACATCCAGTGGCTGCCACCCACAAGACCCCAACCGGTCCAGGGACAAACTTCAACCGAGGTACATGCCCTTAGCGGGAACAGAACCCTGGACTCTCTGGTCCGCAGGCCAGCGCTCTAACTGCTGAGCCAAACCGGCCAGGGCAATACCATTGCTTTAATAACTTTTCCCTGGAACCTTTCATGGCGACTCTGGAAGCTGGCAGGAAGCCTAAATTATTTCTCCCAATGACCCCCAGAGGGAGGGATCCTTCCCGATTTGCAGAAATGGAAGCCCAAGCCCAGAACTCAGAACCCTGACTCAAGCTCTGGTGCAAGGCAGTGTTTGGGGGTCCCTCCTTACATGAGTGAGAACAGGAGTAGGGTTTGAGAGTCTGTTCTGTGCCCATCACAGTTTGAGCTGCTGGAAGAGGAAAGAGAGAGAAGAAAAAGGTCTTTGCCTCTGATTTTTCCATGGGCGGGCGGGCAGGGGGGGGGGGGGGGAGGGAGCTGAGCCTTGGCTACTTCTCTGGACCTTGTCAGCGCCCTTCCATCTCTTTTTGTCCTGTCAAATCTTTGTCCCCTGAATCAATCTGGTCTGTGGTCTCTGCAGCACTCAGAGCCCCAAGTCGGAGTGAACCCCAACTGCCTAAACATTCTCCTTTGGCAGTAACGCGTGTGTCCACTGGCCTTCGGAGGGGCCACTGCTATTAGAACGCGGGGGCGGGAGGGGTGAGGCGATTTGGGTCTAGAACATCCCAGCTTTTTGTGCGCCCTCCTCCTCCTCCCCACGCCACTGGGTTTTTTCAGGATGTCAGTGTCTGTGTGCCCCCCCACCCCCACCCCACCCGGAAGACCATGCCTGCAAGGCGCTCCTCGCGTGGCCTGGGGGCTCTGCTTTCTCACTGTGGCCCCCAGAGTCCCTGGGAGCGGAGGGCGCGGGCCCTTTAAATCCTCCGGGGCGGCGGCGGGCCGGGGATGACATCAGCGGGCGGGCCCGGGGCTCAATGGGAGCCGGCGGACGCGCGCCGGGCGGGAGCGCGAGCCGGCGGCGGGGGCGGCGGGCTGGAGGGCCCGGAGGAGGGAGGCGGCGGCGGTGAGAGCCCAGAGCCTGAGCCCGGCCGGGCCGAGCGGAGCGGAGCGGCGGCGGCTGGGCCGGGAGAGGCTGGCGCGCCGGGCGGCTCTGCGAATCCTCCGGCATCCGGCCCGGCGGGCCGCTCCCGCTGGCGGCAGCACCCCAAGCAGCGGCCCGGCACCGGCGCCTTCCCGGCGGGGTAAATATTGGGAGACCGGGGGCTCGCGGAGGGGCGCAAACCCGGGGGGAAACGGGGCTCCCCCCGCCTCTTTGTTTTTGCAGAGAGGGAGGGGAGGGGCGCGCAGGCGGGCGGACACCGCGCGTTCGCACTCGGGAACCGGGGGGAGGGGGCAGTCCGGGCGCCGCCCGCTCGGCCCGGCGAGGACAAAGGCGCCGCTGAGGCCGAGGAGGAGGAGGAGGAGGGTGACTATTATTTTGCAGGCTTTGGGGGGGGCGGGGGGCGGCCCCCCAGCCCGGCCCGCCCCCCCCCCCCCCCCCCCGGCTTGGACCCTTTAAGGCCCCAGCCAGCCGAGGCGGCCACCCCAGGCTGTGATTTGGGGACACTGAGGGAGGGGTCCTGGGACTGGGGTGCTGGGGGCACCCGATACAGTTAATTCGAGCTTCTCCGTCAAACCCTGGGATTCTATCTGTTTCACTGGACAATCAGCGCCTCCCCCTTCTCTCCTGGCTCGGTGCTCCAGACCTGGGGGGTCAGCAAGGTTCTCCCGCAGGTTGGATGCGGGCACTTGGGGGCCCTGAGATGAGGGGGTGTGTAGTCACCCAGCCACCGATTCTGTTTTCCTTTGTGGAGAGAAAGAAAGGGGTGGGGGTTATTTATCAGATCGTATTCTCCCATTTCTTCCTATGAGAAATCCATGTTTTGCAAGTCTCTGTGGAACATAAAACTCCGTGTGTGCCCGGATATCTCTAGAGAGAGGATTCCCAAGCTCCTCGTCACATCCAAACTCAAAGTGGGGTGAGCCCCCTCCCAACTTTCCCTTAGTTTTCTTGTATATTTTATTCTTGGGGTAGCTTCCCTCAGGGAGAAGGATCTGGGGTGAGGGGAAGGGGATCCAGAGTATCTAAGTCCACCCTTAAATGCCTGTATTTGGGGGTCCTTTGCCTTCTGTCTAGAATGTTCCTCCAGTTTTTATTTTACTGGTCCAGTGACATGGGCTCTGGCTGGGGGGTAGGGGGGACAGGAGTAAGAAAACTGTCCCTGTGTTTTGTTGCTTGGTAGTTTGTCTAATTGTAACTGAAACTCTGGAGTCTTCATTTCTTTCTCTTTTTTTTGCCTTTTAAAAAAATACTTTGTTTATTGCCCCCCTTCCCCCACTCCCAAGGGAGAAGCAGCAGAGAACTGGAGGGCCTCTCCCATTCCTGACTCAATCCTTTCTCCTCTCCTCTGGGAGGCTTTTGGGGGTGGTGCTGGGACAGTCTAGGCTCTCCCTGGGCTCTGGGTGGCCAGCACAGAGAATTCCTGGTTCCGGCTGGGTCCAGGGTCCATGGTTCACACCTCCTCTTCTCCCCTCCCCTGCCTGAAGCCCCCTGAGTGGGGAGGGGCTGGGGGTCATGTGCAGTGTATTTATGTAAGACACCCAGACAGAGGGCATGGGTATTTATATAACCCGGCGTGGGTATTTATGTAATATAGGATGCGGGTGTATTTATGTTCTTTTCGGAACCTGCGGCTTTCCCGGCTGCCATGTGTGGTCTCTGAATTGGAGTTGGCGGAGCACAGACTTGGGGGGGAGGGATGTTTGTGTACACACCCGCATCCCCCTCCCCCAGCAGGACTCATGGTGAGTTCCTGCTTTCTTTATTGGAATTTACACACAGGATGGTATGGGCGCGAGGTATGTAGTGTGTGGGTTTCCTGCAAATGTGAATTGTATGTGGCTGGCAGCCCTGGCACCTCAGCTGGGACCAGCCAGGGTGTATGCAGAGGCCCTTGGTTAAGAGCCCAGAGTTTGGCCAGCCCTGGGGTGGAGGCTGCTTCCTTGTGGCCACTGGGGAAGGGATAGTGATGGCTCTCTGGGAGCCAAGTGCTGGGGCTGGATACCTCTCCTGGGCAGGAGTTCTTGGCACTTTGCCTCTGCCGGTCCAGCCTGGCCCTCAGTGGACTAGATCTTTCCAGTCTCCCTTCCCAGGTGCTGTCTGGCTTTGGAGGCTAGCACTTGGCATGAGGAAGGGGCAGAATCTCTGCCTGGCACAGCTGCTCTTCTACCTTCCTCTTTGCCTGCCAGTCTGTTGTGAGGATGCAGGGCTGCCAGGTGGGGAGGCAGAACCCATGTGGGTGGTAGGTGAGGAGACTGCCACTAACTGGCTATTGTGGGGTGGGGTGAGGTGGGGAGGGGTGGGCGGGGGCATGGCCGCTCTGGGCCTGAGATCCCAGTCTGCAGACGAAGGTCCCTCTTAATAGTCGTCTATGCTGGCCCTCTTATAGACACTCCAGGATCTTAGGGGTCCCCCACCCCTCTCCCAATTTCATAGTCCACTGTTCCATCTCCCCCCGTAGCAGAAACTGCCTCCCAGCCATGGAGTTTTCTCCTCTGCTGGCCAGGGCCCCAGAGCACCCAGACCTTTGCCCCAGGCCAGAGGGGTCTCTACTAGGACCCTGATATCCCACAGGCTTGGACACCCAGGTGGAGGCACAGGACATAGGCAAGCTGTTCAAATCACCTCGCCCCCTCCCATTCCACAGAAGCTCAGAAGCTAGAGACCAAAAAACCTAGCTTTGGTCACTTCACTTGTTCAGTTGCCCTCTTAAAAGATCCTCCTAAGGGTCCTCGTCTTGAAGAAGTCTAGTCCCAAACAGTCCATCCAAAGAAATATGTGCAGAGTGGGCTGTGTGCAGTTCTTGGTGTTGTAGGGTTGAGAGGAGGAGACCACTGGAGGAAGGAAACGTCTTCCTGCAGGGCACACTGTAAACTGGCAAGGTCTGGCTTCTGGGAATACCAGACCAGGCCATGGAGGCCTGGCCTCTAATTCTTGGCACTAGAAGCCTGGGGTGGGGATGGCGCCAGGGCAAGACTGTAATTTCTGAGTCCTAAGGGAGCTGAGGAACTTCTTAGGGACCCTCTGTTCAACTTGTCCTCCCATGCCTGGAGGTTAGAACTTGCTAGTGGTTGCCATGGTAGCACCTCCTGGATTATCAGCTCCTGCATCCCCCCTCCCCATCACCCCGCTTTGTCCTTGATTTTTCTTTTAGGGTCTTGGACCATTGTGACTGGCCTGCCCCTGGGAGGCTCCTGTCGGAGGGTCCCCAAATAAGACTCCCCCAAAGTTTCCTCCCAGGCCTTGTCTCCAATTCCACCTTCTGCCTGGTTCTGCTGACACCTATTCTTTTTTTTTTTTTGGTATGTGCCCCTAGCGGGAACCGAACCTGGGACTCTCTGGTCTGCAGGTGGCCGATGCTCCAGCGGCTGAGCCAAACCGGCCAGGGCCTGACACCTGTTCTAAGCCTGCCTCAGCCACTACCCACATGTGGAGGCTCTCAGGCCACCTGACACCTGGTTGCCCTCAGGCCTGCAGGCTACTCTGACCCAGTGTTTCTGCTTCCCTCCACAGTGACAGTGAACCATGGAGCTCCGTGTGGGGAATAAGTACCGCCTGGGCCGGAAGATCGGCAGTGGGTCCTTCGGAGATATCTACCTGGGTGAGTGTTCCTGGCTCCAGCTCCCTGGTTCTGGAGCCCCGGGACAACTTTGGGGCCAAGGAGGAGGAAAGATACCAGGATTTCAGGCTCTGAAGTCAGAACTTGGCTCTGGGGCTGCGGTGGCATGTTTCACTCATTCTTGTCCTCGGGGCCATCCAGGTGGAGATGGAAGCAGCAGGGTAGGGCGAGGCGGGCTGAGGGGCTCCTCACAGAGACAGTGCAGGGTTCCTGTTTGCGGCAGGCCAGGCAGAGGAGGGTGTTTTTATCTCTGGTCCCAGCCATGGATGCCCTGGGTCTCTAGCTGTGCATGGGAAAACCCAGACTGGAAGAGCACCGCATGTCTGGTCTCCCGGGAGAAGAGTATTGGTGGACACAGGACTGGGCTGCTGCAGCTCCAGCTAGGCCCCTCCCTGTGGTCCAGCCTCCTGGAATTCAGCCTGGGCAGCCAGGCTTCGGAATGACGCAGGCTCCCCCAGCAACCTCTGGGGAGGCAGGGGTCTTAGCTTTTAGGATCTCTCTCCGGATGTGCTTCCTGTTGAAAGTCTGAGTTTGCTCTCATTTTGTTGTTTTAAAGATTTTTTTTTTAATCCTTACCCGAGGACATTTTTGCATTTATTTTCAGATAGAGCGAGAGGGAGGGGGGGGAAGAGAGAGAGAGAGAGAGAGAGAAGCATCAATGTGAGAGAGACACATCGAGTGGTTGCCACCCACACAACCCCAACTGGGGCTGGGAACAAACTGTAACCAAGGTATGTGCCCTTAGTGGGAACTGAACCTGGGACTCTCTGGTCTGCAGGCCAACACTCTAACCTCCGAGCCAAACTGGTGCCAGGGCTTTCATTTTGTTGTTTTTAAGAAAACACTGACCCCTTGCCCCATCCTTGCCCTGGAGTCAAGAGGCTTATGCCTTGGAAGGCCACTTTTCAGCCACTCGAGGGGCACAGTCAGGAGTCACGGCCCTTCCTTTGCAGTTGTTGGTTTTCAGTGGAGGTATTGTATCGGTAACTGTGAGCTGGACTTGTTAGAGCAAGGTGGCCAGCCCCTGGCTTCTTCCTCACTCCTGTCCCTGTGTCCTTGGAAAATAAATTCTGTCCTGGGAGGAAGAGACTGACAAGTCAGTGTGCTGTGCTCATTGATTCAGAACTCGGTGAGGGAGGGGTCCCTGCCCTCTTGGCTATGAACTCCGCTAATCAGTGAGCCACTCCCTCTCCCATCGGGGGCCGTGGGGGTGGGGGGAGAGTGCACACGTTCTCTGAGCACATACTTCATGCTGGGCAGGACCCTGTTAGAATGTGGTCTCCTGTCACAGCAGTGTCTACAGATGTCCCTGTACTATCCCCACTTCACACATCAAGAAACAGGAGCATCGTGGTTAAATTGTCCCCCCATGGTTTTTCTCAAAAATTAGAAAAGGCCACCTCTATACGCACAGTCCTCCACGTGAATGACAATGCACAGAAGACAGAATGTGGGAGGGAGACATCAGGCAGACCTGAGTTCCCGGCCTGGCTTGGTGCGGCTGCTCTGTGCTTCAGTGTTCCTGTCTAGAAAGTTTGTGTGATGATGCTGCCTGGCTGACCAAGGGCAGTCACGAGGCAGAAATGACGTGATGCATGGCATGAGAAAGCATCGTAAATTGTGAAGTGCCAGCCGGATGTACAATTCATTGCCCCTCGTCTAGTAGCTCCGCCTCCTCTGTAAACACCGCTGAGCACAGAGCAGAAGGCAGGAGCAGTGCAGGTTGGTGGTGTTTTAAAGGTTTTTCTCGCCCTGGCCTGTTTGGCTCAGTGGTTAGAGCGTTGGCCTGCGGTCCAGAGAGATCTGGGTTCGGTTCCCGCTAAGGGCACGTACCTCGGTTGCAGTTTGTTCCTGGCCCTGGTTGGTCATGCGGGTGGCAGCCACTTGATGTGTCCCTTTCACGTCGCTGTTTCTCTCTCTCTCCCTCCCACTCTATCTGAACAAAAAATGGGAAAAAATGTCCTCAGGTGAGGATAAAAAAAAAAAAGGTTTTTCTCTGTGACTCCAAGCTCCTCCAGGGACAGCAGGCATTAGGCTGTTTCCACCTCTGTCCCTAGTGCCCGGCAAAGTGGGTGTTCAGTAAAGCTTCTCCAATGGATGAATGAGGAAATGGCTGTCACGTGCAAAGGCATATGAAGTGGCCTGACTTAGGGCAGGGTGGAAGGAGGTTGGGATTTGGGGCAGGTCTAGGTTCAGGTCCCCCGTGTACTTCTCATTTGCTGTGTGACCTAGGATAAGTCACTTTCTCTCTCTGAGCCTCACTGTTCTCATCTGTGCAATAGGGTACCCATAGCCTTCCTGTTTGTGAAATTGGGCTAGATATAAAGGACCCGCTTGTCCTGGAGGCTCTTGGGCTCAAATCTGAAGCCTGGGACCACTGGCTGGAGGGCAAAGGGCATAGAGAGGCAGCTTCTGGTACAGACACACACCTGCTCCTAGACAACACCCAGTCCAGGGCCTTCATTTTGTCGAAGGGAAACTGAGGCCCAGAGATGGGAGGGGCAGGCCCAGGTCACTCAGAAAGCCAGTGTCCTGGTCCATGTGACGGGATCTCCCCGGGGACAGGACTTCCTGTTTATCTAGTAGTCACCTAGGTCATTTAAAAAACCAGGGTCAGATTTAATCCTGTTGTACAGGCTCTGGAGTAAATTCTACCAGGGTTTGGGTGCTGATATTTATTTTACTAGCTGTATGCCCTTGAGCAAGTGATGACCTCTGCCAGCCTTGGCTTTCCCATCTGTAAAATAGGGGTGTGAGGCCTCCAAAGTGGGGAGAGGCGATGGGATCACAGCGCGCAGAGTGCCTGCACGTGCACGGCCCAGTAGTAGTGCTTTCTGGTTGTGTCCCCCAACCCTCCATCTTAGTTGGAATCTGCTACTGTCAAAGGATCTGGGTCCTCTTGGGCCAAGGGGGAGGAAGGGAGCCAGTTCTCCTCTGGCTGTCCTGTCTTCACTGGGTACATGGGCCATGGGGACCCCAGTCTAACATTGTCCTGCCAACTCCGTCCTGGGCCCCTGTGTTGCTGGCATGAGGACAGCGGTGATTGTAGGGCCTCCCCGGCTGGCCTTGCTGGCTCCCTTTGTTCAAAGCTCTGGCCACATTCTTGTTGCCAGTGCAGTGCCAGGGCCTGACTCCAGATGGCCTCTGCAGGTGGGGCTGGGCGCGGCCTCCAGGCCCTGCTTTCCAGGATTGACTGAGGCGAACACTTCGCAGAGGCGACTGTGAGGCCCACTGCTCCTCTCGGTCCGTTTCCCCTGCTCCTGGCAACATCGAAGGGGACATCAGGAGAGTGGGGCCAGCTTAGTTAGGGCTTCCGTTGGCTGCATGAGGTCCAGAGCTGGCCAGGCCTGTGCCCACTCTGCCAACCACTGCCATGTGCCCTTGGGAACTCTCTTTTAGTCTCTGGTCCTTGGTTCTAAAAGGAGAAGCAGTGGTGCTCCCCACCAGGTGGTTATGGAGATGCTTCGACCTCCACCTCTAGTCCGGCCAGCTCCCTGATTGTGTCCGTGTGTCTGTATGGGGGTCCGAGCAAGCGTCCGTGTGAAGCTGGTCACCCCCTTCCCTGCTAGAACTTCACAAGCCCCAGACCCTCTAGGGCTGGCCAGGTCCAAGCCCTTCTCTGTCCCAGATTGTTTTCAGACTGGCCTGTGCCCCCCCCCCCCCCCAGGTTCCTGTTTCTAACTGATGGGCCACCCCTGACTCCTTTTACTTAGTCACAGTTAGCCTTGGTTCTTCCCACTGAAGAGGGCTGAGCTCCTCCAGGCAGGGCTGCCTCAGCTGGTCCAGGGCTCCGTATGTGTCTGTTGCTTGAATGAATGAGATGCTAGGGAATTGGAATAGAGAAAGGCAGGGGCTTTAGGGCTTAGTTTTAAATCCTGGCTCTGTTGCAACCAGTTCTGTGTGACCTCTACTTAGTTAACCTCTCTGAGCCTCAGGGCAGCAGTTGTGAGAATTAAGGGAGACAGAGAAAACATTGGCAGCTTCCCTATAGAATATAGAGGCAGCAAAAGGATCCAGTGCTGATGGGACCCCACTGGGCTAAGCAGCTGTGACAGGTTTCCAGCACTTGGTGGGGTCAGAAGATTGCCTAACAGTTGGGCCCTGTACCAGAGAAGTTGTGTGACATTGACGTTTGGTGTGTCTGTTTCTACAAACAAGAGTACTTGCAGGACGGTGTAAGAGTTCAAAGAGATAGCCCTGGCCGGTTTGGCTCAGCGGTTAGAGCGTCCGCCTGCGGTCCGGAGAGACCCGGGTTCGGTTCCCGCTAAGGGCATGTACCTCGGTTGCAGTTTGTCCCCGGCCCTGGTTGGTCGTGCGGGTGGCAGCCACTCGATGTGTCCCCTTCACATCGATGTTTCCCTCTCTCTCTCTTCCTCTCTCTCCCTCCCACTCTGTCTGTACAAAAAATGGAAAAATGTCCTCGGGTGAGGATAAAAAAAAAAAAAGAGTTCAAAGGGATAAAGGGCTCCTACCCTCCACATCTGCATCTCAGGGGAGGGGGCTCTCCCCAGCACCTTCCCTCCCTGCATGCAGCTGTTAAATCTTAAGTGCCGAAGACCCGGCCCCTGGCTGGGTGGGACCACCATTAGTTCTTGTCTGGACAGTGGCAGCAACCTTGGGTCCTCTCTCTAGTCCTCTCCAGTCCTTGCCCTAGTTAGGGCTTCCGGTTGGCTGCATGGGTCTCAGTGAGGGGAGAAGGGAATTTCGTCCCATGGGGAACATTTGACAAGGTCTGGAGACATTTTTGGTTGTTTCTACTCAAGTAAGGGGTGGGTACTACTGTCAGTTAGTGGGTAGAGATTAGGGATGCTGCTAAACACTGTACAGTGCTCAGGACAGGCAGCCCCCATGACAAAGGTGGTCAGTAGTGTGGAGGCTGAGAAACACTGTGATCAGGCATCTGTATTGGCCCCCGGAGTCTCAGGCTAAAGGCCGGGGTCTTCATGAGACCCTATTTCTCCTCTGCCCCCCTCTTTCATTGT